TTTTTTCCCAATTTGTTTCAGATATTTCATAATAATAATTTATTAATAAATACTAATAAATACCCATTTATTAAATAGCATTTCAATAAAATATTTTATTTACATTTAAATTATTATATTATATGTTTAGAAACAATGGTTTATATATTAAATGGTTAAATATTGCAATATTTCATTACATTTAAAAATGTAGTTTTATTAATATTGGATCAATACTTATAAAATATAAATATTTCCTAATGTCCATAAAACATTTTATTAACATTAATTCCTAATGTTTTATTTTCATTAAATTTTAATGTTTAATAAATATATAATTATAAATATTTCATTTTCATTCAAATATATATTTAATAATAACTAGATATTATATTTTACATATTTATTTCTCAACATTTAAATAAAATTAAAAAATATTTTAAAATAAATCTTATTTTTTAAATATTTTATTAATGTTTAATTAAGATAAACATTCAAATATTAAATTTTAAATCAAAAATAAACATTTATTACACATTGATCATTGACAAATGCTGTGTGGGAACGAAACCAACGGCAGTAAAAACACTATATTATGTTTCTAAATATTCTAAAAAAAATTTATTTTTATTAATTTTAGTCTAAATTTGGTTCAAAAGCCGCACGAAATTGATTTAAGAGCCGCATGCGACTCGCGAGCCTCATTTTGGCCATCCCTGTTCTAGAACATTTTCGAAATTACCCTAACAATAATCATCGATTATTTTAGAACAGCATTTCTCAAACTATGGGTTGCGACCCCTTAGGGGGTCGCAAGTCTATTTTTGAGGGAGCGTGAGAAGTTTTTTTAATTATACAGATTGGAAGAAACAAGCACATTCATCACATACGCCTAATTATTAATTAAGTATTGTTATTATTATTATTATTATTTTTATTATTATTATAAAATAGTAAATCTATCTATCTATCTATCTATCTATACTAAATATATAATTGTAAGGGTTTTTCTTCGACCGCGCTAACCGAGAAAACTACTGAACCGATTTGGCTGAAATTTTTTTTTGTCTGAAACCCAACACTCTGCTGAAGGTTTTAGTACCACTTTTGTCAGTACAAATGTTCATAAAAGTTCATAAAAAATTAAAAACAATTGTACTTATATTGTGCGTGTACTTATATTATTAATCCGAGATTGATTATTTAAATATTAAAGCGCTTCAAATTGGACGAATGACTATATTATGTCCCAAGTGCCATGCAAAAAAATGGAAAGATAAAATCCATGGACTTTGCTGCGCTGACGGTAAAGTTGTTTTATACCAATTTGAGGATCTTCCAGTACTAATTAAAAGTTTAAATGATAATTCTCACCCTCTATCAAAACATTTATTTGATAATTCTAGACGGTCTAGACTCTCTGTTTCAAATGACATCGTTTGGAGCAAACGAAATAGCTGAAGGGAACTTCATGCCCTCTTTTCAAATTCAGGGTCAAGTGCATCATTTAATATGTAGTTTATTACCCGAAATTGGAAATAATGCTAAATTTTTACAAATATATTTTATGTCAGAGTTGGATCAAATATCTATTCGAACAAATATGATTCCAAATTTAAAAAAAGGTCTCATTGAATCATTGCAAACAGTTTTGCGTGAAAATAATCACCTCATACAGAGCTTCAGATCTAATCTGGAGTCGAGGTCTTTTGATAAGTTGCAAAACTTTAAATTAATTATTCATGCTGACAGAGTTCCTCAAGATGAACACAGAGGTTAATATAATGCACCTACCATCGATGAAGTAACTGTATTATTAGTTAATGAAGATAAAGGTCCCAGAGATATAGTTCTGCACGGTCGGAGTGGACACTTGAGTCGAGTTTCCGAATTGAATAGATTTTATGATGCACTGCAATATCCATTGATGTACATTAGAAGCGAAGACGGTTATCACATTAATATTTTACAGAAAAATAACCAAAATCGAACAAAAACTGTCTCCTGCATGCAATTTTATTCTTATAGTTTTATGGTTAGAGAAACAAGCCTAAATCATCTACATTATTACAAAACATTATTCAGCCGATTCGCCGTAGATATGATGGCAAAAATGATTTCTGAAAGGTGTAATAATAAGTTTATGGGTGGCATAACATTTGTTTTCGCTGGTGATTTCCGTCAAACCTTACCAGTAATCCCTGAAGGTACTCGAGCTGATGTCGTTAATGCTTGCTTAAAATCTTCCCCTATATGGAACTATGTTGAAAAACTTTATTTGCGAACAAACATGAGAGTTTATTTATGCGGAGGGAACGATATTTTTCCAGCACAGTTGTTGAAAATTGGAAATGGAACTTTAGAAAATGAAAATGGTTACATTTCTGTCAATCACACGATTGGACGGGTGGTCAATAACGTGGAAGAGTTGATTTCTACAGTTTATCCTGACATTTTTAATCTGTCCAATAAATCTTATCAGTGGTTATGTGAAAAAGCTATTATCTTTCCGAGAAATGTAACAGCAGGAGAAATTAATGATATTATCCTTCTAAAATTCGATGGACACTCACGTGAATATCTATCTATTGATACAGTTACATCAACAGATGATGCTATTCATTATCCACAAGAATTTCTCAATTCTCTTTCTCCTTCGGGATTTCCTCCTCATAAGCTAAAATTAAAAATTGGTGCTCCAATTACATTATTACGTAATCTTCAACCACCAAACTTATGTAACGGTACAAGATTACAAATAAAATCGTTGCGAAATAATATTATAGAAGCCGTAATTCTTACAGGACCAGCGAAAGGAGAAATTGCATTTATTCCAAGAATTCCCATAATTCCCTCTGACTTACCGTTTTCTTTCAAACGGCTTCAATTCCCGGTTAAAGTTCCTTTTGCCATTACCATAAACAAAGCGCAAGGTCAAACATTCAAGTACGTTGGCGTAGATCTTCGTAGAGTGCTTTTCACATGGGCAATTATACGTGGCATTTTCTCGAACTGGGGACCCGAATCATCTTATGATTTTAATTTCAACAGGAAATACAACAAAAAACATCATATACTCAGAAGTCTTATAAAATTCTTATTTTAATTCCTTTTTTTTCTATTTTTTTCTTCATCAACTTCAATCAAATTCTTTATCAACCATAAATTATTTCTTTTTTATCTGTATTTATTTTTATCATTTATAACGCTAGAAAAATTTCAATCCGTTTTCATAAACCGTTTTTTTATATTTACTTGCCGATCACATTAAACAATAATATTTGAATAAAAAATTCTACACATCATGGTCCGAAGGCAAAATAAACAATCAATCACGGGCGAAGCTGTGACGGGTCGGCTAATAAGTAATAAAATAGATATAATTTGTTTTTTGAAATTATTTTTATTGATTCTGCAAATGTAAAACTATGGGATCGCGATAAATTTTAGGAAGAAAATTTGGGTCGCGGTCCTAAAATGATTGAGAACCACTGTTTTAGAACATGGGATTTCCCCTTATCCACTGACAATATTGTAAACAACTTGGATGACTTGCGGTACGTTGTTTACGTCGCTACACATGCAATGGGTATAATTCCTTAACCTTAACATTTACTCCACCCTTTTCTCCACTCATGACTGCCACGCCATCATACAATTGTGCTATTAGTTTATTCAGAGTTTTTTTTTAAATAGGATTTATTTCAGATAATAGAATTGATGTTAATGATTCTGCATTGTTTCCATTAGAATTTATAAGCCCCCAAAAACGTTCTCTTGGTTGGCCTTTAAGTTCATAGAGAAATACAATAACTAACTGAAGCATATTAGAAATGTCAGTAGTCTCATCGACGATTATAGAAACAAATAGTGCAGTTTCTATTTCTAATAAAATTTGTTTTCTGGCTACAAGTTACTACTTGTAGGTTAGGTTAGATTTTAGATTGTATACTATACAAATTATTCTGTACTGTTTTAGATGTCCCATTACTTTATATTATTTATAATAGAATAAAATATTTTACATTTCATAAATTAAATAAAATTTAAAAACATAAATAATACAAGTTTATTTTCAGTTACATAAAACAATACTTATTAACTAGAAAATATTTATTTGCGACTTTGTACATCAACAAGTTTTTTCAATGCAATCCAATTTCTCACTACATACCTTCGATTGCCCCATACATATTTTGACATATACTTATACCAAAACCTATAAACAATTATTCAGGTTGTTATTATTTAAGTAAAGGAATATTTCATAATATTTGATTTTATAATTATTTTAATCTGCATTCAATAGGATATTTAATGTCAATTTTGTGATGCACTACATGTTTACAATTTTTTATGTAACTATGAATTTGTATTACATTTATATAATATAATATAATATTGGTATTATATTTATATTAAAATAGCATAATTTGTAAACAGTAATTCAAAATATAAAATAACTTTAAATATAAGATTAGTGTATTTGTTAAAAATAATAATTAAATTTAAATCTAAAGGCTGATTTACACGTTACCAGTTGCTGGCATGGCTACTGGCATGCTAGCTTTAAAGTCAATGGCATGCGGCAACTGGAATTGGCAGGTGATTGGCGCCCATCGTTTACACGACGCTAGTACTGGCAGCTACTAGCAGTGGCGTATTTAGGAACTTATTTTTTGTGAGGGGTTGTCATACCTAATAGTGAAATAATTTTATAAATTAGTATAAAGTGTTCTTTATTAACTTATTGTTAGGTTTATATTAACTCATTGAAATCAAACTATTGACTTCAATTGATTTAAAATAAGAATTCAATGTTTTATTTTAAATTTAAATTAAAATTTTAACTTATTTTATTTTTTTATTTTATTTTACATTACGGGACTAGCCCAAAGTACAGTTAAACGGAATAAGATAAAAGACAAACATACTTATAAATTAGATTATATATAAATATATATATTTTTTTTTTACGATTTCAAATATTTTTTGGAGGGGGAAACCCCAGACCCCCCATAAATACGCCACTGGCTTTTAATAGAGGTGCTAACCAGTGGTTGTAGTGTTTTATCAATTCGAGTACCGAGTAATAGTGTACACGTTATCACGTCTTGTATAAATTATAAACATTGTCTAATAATATTTTAATATAGTTCACTTTTCACAGTTTCAGTAATTTCACGCACATGTACTATGTACTATTATTATTGATAAATAAAATATTATATCATTGTTATAATCCAGTAGTCGGCACGTGACTATTGTTGTTTACACGATGCCAGTTAACTGCTTTCGTTGTAGCGATGTAGTGGAGGGGGAAGCTTTCGCGCCAGTAAAATAAAAATATTTTAATTGCTGGCAATGCCATCTGCTGGCACGCAGTGACGTATTTAAGGGGGGGCAATCCCCCCCCGAGAATTTTTATGTAAGTAATGGGCATTTTATTAAGAAACAAAAATTATGATTTATTTTATAGTATAACTATATTTGAAAACGTTTCAAATTTTACACTAATTTAAATAACACAAAACGCTAAATTTTTCATAACGTTTTTACTGTCAATAATGGTAAATGAAAATTTTTTTAAAGGTTTAAATTTGTATAACGTTTAAATTATTTATAGTGTTAAATAAATGCTCAATTGCTTATAATGTTTAAATGTCCCATAACAATAAATAATATAAATTATTTTGATTGAAGACCATACTTAGTGAAAAATTAGATAAAACATAAGGGAAACTTTCAAAACAAAGATAGGTGTTAAAAAAGAACTACACAAAAGACCAATTTAAGTGGATCCGGCATTAGAATAAAAAAAAAAAAAAAACTACAAATATTAAGAATTCACCTGATATAAATACTACCAACAATTTTACTTGTAAATGTTGAGCCTGAGTTAAAGAAAAAATTTAAGTCACCCCCCCCCCTAGAGGTAAGTCTAAATACGCCCCTGCTGGCACACCAGTGCCCAATGGCTTTTTCCAGTTGCTGGCAGATTATGTTTAGACGTTGCCAGTCGCTGGCATACAATTACTGGCGACTTTGACTGGTACGCCGACTGATAACGTGTAAATCAGCCTTAAAAAATGTAATGATTTATATATTTGCATATTAAATTCATTATTGTTAAACTTTACATTTTCTAATATTTTTTTTTAATTTTCAGGCTTATATTAACAACAATCTTATTGATAACAAAATGAGGCAAGATAGTTAATAACAGATGTGTTCATACTTTTTAATGATTTGATTTGATGTTGTATTTTAATACATTACAAGAGTTCATAAATTTTACTTAAATACTTACATTCCAAACAATGTTCCTCCTAAATGTGCAGCATGATCAAACATTTTCCATCCTAAAAGTATTCCTAATGAGTCCACTGTTACTAAACCAAATAAAGCCTGAAATTTAAATGAATATTAAATATTATACTTTATTTGGTAAAATTTTTTCAGAATACATGTGAGTATATACATATTTTATTTATTTCATATAAAGAGTACAAAATACTTCATGTAGAGGTCTAAAACCCTAATATTTGATTGTATTCTATGCTGTTTGAAGTATGGAAATAAATTTGACTATAAACTACAAGTTATTCGTATGACCCAAGTAGTTCACATACAATATTTATAAGTAAAATTTATCAAATTTACAATATTTTTATTTTATTTATTTTATAACATATTATTATTAACCTAAAAATAAAAATATGTAAGTCTTTAAAATCAGATGAATCATTTTGTATATTATATATGCTAAGAAATTATTTTTTTAAATTTTAAACAAATTTTATAGTTGGTTTATAAGCATTATAATTTAGAAAATGAAATTATATTTAATATAACCTAAGTAATTAGTACATAGATATTTTTAGATAAGCTAATGGACTCTTTATTTATATTATTTTATTTAAAACTTACGTAAATTGCATCAAATTGAATCATAGGTAAAAATATAACGCTTAATTTTTCCTCAGGATGTGATAATGCAAAGTATCCAACAACAGATAATATAGCACCAGACTAAAATCCAATACGATTATTAGAAATATTTTCTAGTAGTTTATCATAGAATTGGATTTATACTTACAGCGCCTAAACTTATTCCTGGGCTTTTCATGCTTCTTCTAAATACAATACTAACTAATGATGAAACAACACAAGAACTTATATAAAATGCAGTAAATTCTTCAGGTCCTAGTTTACCCCAAGGATGAATTACACCTAGATAGTGAAATATTAATTTAAAACAAATAAATAAAAAGTATAATATATTACTATGTTTACCTCGGCAAAATGTAAAAAGAGCATACATATTAAATGCTAAGTGTACTGAAGAACTGTGACTAAATGCACTAAAAAGAAGTGATGACACTGGAATTTTATCTAAAAAATAAAAGATATTTTAACATTTAATAAATTCTGAGTATGTGTATTTGTTTTTAATAAGTTCATCTTATTTTAAAGTAATTCAAATTTACTAGCAAGTGCATCTGTTGAAAAATATTTCACCATTATATGTTGCCATCTCGGTACTTGCCACGCAAAAAAAACAAGACTATTTAATACAAGTATAGTACCAAATATTTTCTCGGACGGTTTTAAATTATTCCAACGAGATTTTATCTCTGAGATAACACCCTAAAATAAAATAATAATCAAATGAAAATATTTATAAATATTTTTAAGTATTTCAGTAAATAAAATATTTGAAATTAAGAAAAAAATGTATTTGACATACCTAAAAAACTATAATCATTTTAAAACTAGAGAATTATACTAAATAGAAATTAGAGAGTATTAAATGAATCTAGCTAAGAATGGATAGAGGAAAAGACCCAATATTATGGTATTAAAAAAAAGTTATAATACTTTTATAACAATGTATAAATTATAAATTTAAATGATTTTTTTCATAGATAACTTCAAAAAATATGATTAAATAATAATATTTTAAAGTTTTGAGTTTAAAAAATGTTAAAAGTAATTTAAATAAAATGTATTTAAACTTTTCGAAAAAAATAATAATAAAAAATCATACATTTAAATTACTTTTTAGAATATTGGCATACTGATATAGTGAATATTTAATTAAAATTCATGTTTCTAGAACAATCAGAATTTTAACTAAAATAAGACCGAGGTTAGATTTAATAAAAAATAAGCCTCACACTGATCAAGAAATTATTATACATGTTCTAAAGTAATTTTTTTTTTTACAGTTATATATTTTATGTGAATACATATATGATTCAGTTTTAAAATATACCAATAAATAATTATGGTAATAATAATACTAACCGTTTTTTGTTGTCCAAATTTAGATATATTGTATAAGTTTTGTAGTCTTGAATGAATTTTAGCATTACTTTGGAGTCTTTCATATTGAATAATAGCTGCTAAAACAATGGCACCAGAACTAACCTTAATAAAAAAAATTTTTAACTTGGAAATATTTTTAAAAAAGTAATAAATAATTACAGATATACAAAAAATAGTTGGTTTGAAAAGAGTACTTGCATGCCTCTGAAATATATTTTGATATCGAGATGGTTGATTAAATGATTTTCTAGCAAAAAGATTTTCCGTAGGTACTGATAAATTACGTAACTGAATTTTTGATTTAATACTAAATAATAAAAATAACAATAATAAATTAATGAATAATCTAAACAATGATATACCGTACATAATAAACTACCTAATATTCATAAATTATACAGTTAGTAATATTTATATCTCATCCTTACATTAATAAATTATATTATAATAATTATTTTAAATTTATAATAGTTAATGTAATTTAATACATATATTAGATAATAGGGTAAGATTTATTTATTGCTGTGTAAACTTTAAATAATTGGTTAATGACTACATTTTATAATATTAAATTTGGTATTTTTGGATTACAAATATAACCTTAATTTAACAATTGAATTGTTATATATAAAAAACTTTATTAATATAAATATATCAGACTGTTCACTTTGTGAGTTTCCTTACGAGTTTCCTTTAGAGTTTACGTTAATATACAGTATGATCCCTTTTAAAAGTAACGATAAATTATTCTTTCCAGTGGCATTGGATTGATATGTGGTTTTCAGGAGGAAATAGGAAATGCCTAAATACACATTTTTTGATAGTTTTCAAATTTATAACTCTTTTATTGTGCACATGCTCAACACAACTTGCATTTTTTTAAATAGCAACACTCACTTTTAACAACAGATTTGAATAGACCATCATTTTTTAAGTCAATTTGGTCATCTTTACCATAGCTCTAAAACCAAAATTGACTAAATTAAAACGAGTTAAAGTTTGGATTAAAATTATTGCATTTTTCAACAATCAACATAGAATTTTATGAATTTTCATGCAATTTTAAGTATTTTTTTTTATATTCATAGGTTTTCATACATTATTAAATAATTTAAATTTAATTTTAAGCAATTAATTAACCTTAATTACACCTTTGACATAGACTTAAGTTAATTGATATTTTACTAAAAAGAAATTAAACAAATTAACACAATTTTTATAATTTTAATAATTTCTATTATTTAATTGGGTAAAACAATTTCTAATAACTACCTATCTAATAAATTGTCCAAAATTTACAACAAGCATTTACAGTTTTATTTTTGAGATCTTGAAGGTGGAATTGAATATACTACATTCTTCAAGTTTTTTTTCAGACTTTATAATATTATTTTTAGCAAACAATAAATAAAATTTGGTTCATTTTTGTAAATACAACCAATTTAATAATCTTAATGATGAGCAGTAGTTGCCCATTTGTATCGCGAAAAATAAAAATAATTTTAAATGAAACTTTAATATTAGAAGTTAAGAGAAACTTTAACTTATTGCCATTAAGTCAATTTATTAGTTCTAGAATTATGGTAAAAAGGACCAAATATACTTAAAAAATATCGGTCTATCTAAATCTATTGTTAAAAGTAAGTATTGCTATTTAAAAAAATGCAAGTTGTGTTGCACATGCGCACAATAAGAGTTAAAAATTTTTTAGTATTTCAGCTTTACCCATCTCTTCCCGAAAACCGCATATCAATCTGATGTCACTGGACAGAATAATTTAGTGTTATCTTTAAAAGGAATCACACTGTATATAATATATTGATTGTTTTATTAGTAAAAACATTGTTCAACTACTTATATTAACAATTTATTTTACCTGCATAGTTTACTAAGAAGACAACTCATTTTAAAAAACTAAAATAAATTTCATAGAAAATAAAAGTAAATGCACAGATTATCGACCAGGCAGAACCGTTTACGTACTCATATATTACAATACAATTATTGAGATGTTAAATAAAACCATTGAAAATAATAAATTTTTTAAATTAAGAAAAATAGTCCTGTTATCTATGGTTATCATGTTCACTATCAGAATTCAGAACTCATCTATAGAGATTACACCATAGGCCTATTAACTAAGTACTATAAAAAAAAATAGTTAATAGATCTATGGATTACACACGGACTTTAAAATTAGTATAGGAAGTCTTTGAGATTAAATCAAGACAACATAAACCCATTTGTCTAATACTCGGTGATATTGCACAAATTTAATATCTATATTATAGATATAGATATTATGTATCATACATTTTGTTAAGATTTCAAAAGATATTGTTAATAAAATAAGTGGTGGACAGAAAAATGTTGATGAAGAGATAAGTGAAATCCATTAAAATGTATTGTGAATTTCACTACAGATTCATTTGTTTATGATTTCAAAACAAGTCTTAGATAATTTGTTTAATTATTTATTTTTCTCATTATTTTTTTGACAGTAGGTACATAATTATTTAATTATTAATCATTATTTATTATTTATAACTGTTATAGTGTACTCTCCTAAAGCTCAAATTTTAATATCTGATGCAATTCCAACATTAAATACAGACCGATCACTCTCAAACTGTTACTTTTACATTAGCTATTAATCGAACAAAGAGAATGGAAACTAAATCAACTGAACTACAACAATAAATAGGTATTGTAAATTTGTATATTTACAGTGGTCGTCGGATATTAGACTTACTTTGGGACCTGACCATTTGAGTCCATTAACCTAATGAGTCGATAAGGTGAATTACCAAAAATCTTTTTTTAAAAATGCTTAAAATTAAAAAATTATTTATTGAGATTCAAGGTATGTATAAAAATAAAATAATATGGATGTAAAATCTAATTAATTTTTTGATAAAAATCCATCCAGGGTTGATTGGATTTTCCCTTCTTTAGCCAACTTACATCAAAATCGCCTCTTTGCTGAATTCCTCTATGTATAATTTGAAGCGCTTGACTATAGCATTAGTTTAGTTGATGCTGGTTTTTCATAAGGTTCCTCTTGGTCACTACTACCAGCCACATTTTATTTTAGTCGTTTTGATTGTATTTCACCACATATTTCTTGGTTACGAGTTCAGTATTTTGAACTTCTTTGTCAATATTGATCCATTCCAGTATCAACTTATATCGAATTTATAACACGTTCGTTCAATTTATGTACATATTTTCTTGATTTATCTTATTTTAAAGTGACTCAACTAACTGGTATATGAGTTGTATAAACAAACTTTTTTCTGTGTTAATATGTGTGCAAATCAGGACCAGCTGTTTGGAGTCTAGTAAACAGATGAGTCAATTAACCATCACTCAAATAAGTGGTAACTTACCACTGTGTATAGGTATGCATTATATTAGCTAGTATAGAGCTTTAAAACCGAATTAATTTTCTATTCTTTATTATAATAATGAAAACACAAAAAACATTAAATTTTTATTAAAAAGAAAATTGTGAAAATATTATTTAAATAATGTATGTTTGTTTTCATTTTAGACATGAATAACAAAAACAGTAATGAACTATATATTAAGTAGTGCATTTTGTAACTGATTATTATTATTTAAAATACTTCAATCAATTGTAAAACTTAAATTTTTAAATATTAAATTCATTCTACAACACTCATCTTCTGATCTTCTGCTTTCTCTTTCTGTCCTCTGTCTAATATTCTGTAATACTATTTACATTTAATCAAATGTTCAAATTAATAAAAGAAAAGGAATAATGTATATAAATTCATAACTTCCTAAAGAAAAAAAACAACTTTAGTACATATTTTAATACAAACAATGGGCCATTAATGTTTTAATTAATCATTGATGAAATAGTAATTAGGTATTATACATTTGTCGATAATCAGTATGTTTACGAGTATAATCGCCGGCTCCATAACAATTTGATAATAATATAATACGCAATATAACTACAAAAAAATATCACTCTAAATTTTAGTATGATTAGATTCGATGGCCTATTCCACGGTCTAGGAAGATAATAAATGAACAAATAAAATAATGCAATTTAATTTATTATAAATTTATAATTGATGGTAAAATTATATTTATGATAACGACGGTGTTGGTCCAATCAAGGTGGATATATATCCACCTTGGGTCTAATTGACTGCGTCTAAACAGACCCACGAACTATGATTATAATACATACAAGTATAATGGAGCTCAACATTCAGTAGATTGGGCATGTTAATGCACATCAATTAATTAGGACCACATTTAGAATAATGTACTCGCAGAAGTCCTGTTTTCAAATAATTTTTTTTGGCATGATGGTTTACTATAATATTGTTTAGCATAGCTGTGGTCAAAGTTAATATAATGTCTTAAATCATAATTAATTATTCTATCTTCAACATTTGAATTTAAAATAGAAGGAATAGCTCCTATTTTTAAGCGATATTTGCTTCTATTAGTTCCTGTAGATTATTGAAAAGTAAATATTTTATAACAAACAATTAACAATGTAAACATCCGGAAGAAAATGATCAGCACACACTAATTTCATAACAGAGTCTTTGCAAATATACTTGTTGAATGCCAAATTCCATGCCAAAGAATTATTTTTTGGAACTTTACATAGAGAAATCTGAGGATTTTTTTTTTACGCTTGAGCAACCCAGAATTGAACACTTCCTCACTTTCATTTTAAATTTTCAAAATTAAAAACAAAATCTAAAATATCTAGTATCGAACTATTGAAGATCAAACAAGTTACAAGATAATAATTATGAATGTAAAAATTATTTTCACTATCAATATTTTAAAAATAAGGCGGTATAGTGTTATCAAAGAATAAATATAAGAATATTGTGCTTAAAAACCAGGTTGCGCTTGAGAGCATAAAAACCCAAGTATCAAGGAAGAGTACAGACATTTGCGACCCGTCCCGCTAAACTCATCATTTCGAAACCAGTCCATTATAATCATAGTTCGTGGACAGTCCCTATCCCATGATAAAATAAATTTATTTATTTATTTTATCATGCCCTATTCATTCTTCTATTATCTATGGTGAGAAAGCATTTTGCTCTAATACCGTGTTTGTGGTTTACCAACGGTTACCGATTGAATCATTATAAAGCACGCGCGTTGGGCTGTCCAGAGGTGGGGATTAAAAGATATCACGTGAGTTATGTTCAGATTTTATTATGCGATTTTTTCAGTTAAAAATTAAATTTATGTTAAATACTGACTAAACGGGTGTAACTATCGGTCGAGTACGATAATCTCGTTCAGTGTTCAATTTGTGGTTGTTAATAGTATTTTCATACATTTTGAAGTATTACGTAAAATTGTTCGTTATTATACCAAGAAACCAGTAAAACGTCGGGTAATGTTTACGATTTAATTGTTGAAAATACACTTATAAGATTATGATTTTTTTGGTAACAGTGTTTTTTTTTATTTTTTCACCATTATTAGATATGTTGGGAGGTGGATTGTTTACCAATAAGGCAGTGACAGCGCCCGCCAACCCCAATAAAGACTTTGAAGTTACCCAGCCTCCTGATGACACCGTTTCAGTGTTGGAATTCAGTCCAGCTACAATGCAGCAAAATTTTCTCATCGCTGGTAGCTGGGATAACAGCGTAAGTTGAATAAATGTATTATCTTTGTATTATATGTAATGGAATGTTTCTCAAAATACGCTCCACAAGAGAAGTCTCAGGGCCCTGTGGACATATCTTAATTAATTAAACTTAAATATTATTATATTTCTTAGTTATCGAGGAAAAATACTGTTATTTACCTGAATTGCGCAACAAGTTATACGTTTTAGTGACACTCATTTTATTTACAACTAAGAATTCTGATAAAATTTGGTTATACTGACTTCATTACTTGGCTAGTATTTTCACAAAATTTATCAATACAACATAAAATGACCACAGTTTTCACAGCAAAATCCAATCTTCTAAAAAAAATTAAAAATTAAATTTTAAACTATTTTCTCAATATGAAATATTAGTAATTATTATTGTCTCGGTTATAAATTCCTAATATTCCGGGCTCTGTACATTTTTTGAAAACATAAAGGCTCCACGAACAAAAAAAGTTAGAAAACTACTAATACAATATATTATCATAATTTTATTGTTATTACAATTTCATATTATTTTAGGTGCGTTGTTGGGAAGTTGAACAAAGTGGAAAAACAGTACCGAAATCCATGCAGTCTATGTCAATGCCTATCTTAGATGCTTGCTGGAGTGATGATGGCACCAAAGTTTTTATGGCTTCTTGTGATAAGCAAGTTAAATGCTGGGATTTGGGAAGTAATCAGATGGTGCAAGTAGCAGCTCATGATGCACCTGTTAAAACTTGTCATTGGATCAAGGCTCCAACATACACATGTCTTATGACTGGATCATGGGATAAGACATTAAAAGTATCTATTATTTTTACTACCATTAAATTGGTTTGATATATTTTTAAATTGTGCTATTTTTCTCTATTTTTTAACTATTACTTTTACCAAAACCTAAAAAATTTAACATTAAAAAAAAATTAAATGCATATTTTAGTTATTTTAAGCACATATTTTGATAGTTTTTAGTGTATGAACTTTCAGGCCCTAGTTATTATAAATTAACAAGTTATAATATACTTATGTGTTATTACTATAGCTGATTCCAAATTTTTTTAATGCTATCAAAGTTGAAAAGTTGTCTTATTAACAGTGGAGGCTTATGCCATATACCATCTGGTAATTTCGATCAAACCCTGTATATCTTTTAACTTAAGTTGTGTACTTTCTGTTGACTATCATAGTTAAAAATTGAATTCTAAAATTTATGAAATGAATGTATTATTATTATAATTTTTGTTAGAATTAAGAAAACTTTAAAGAGTTGCGATTTTATTGACTTTGTATATACCTGATGATTAAAGCCCAAATTTATATGCATTTTAAATTGTAAAATATAAACTAAAAATAGTTTAAATATTCTAGAAAAAAGGAAAAATGCATAATAAAATTACAGTTTTTATAAACAAAAAAGTTGATAGGTAAATAGTACACATTGGTACATAATAGGAAAAAAGTACGACTAATTTATTTTAGTAAGTATGCTGATTAGTTGAAAAGACTATAAATTAACAAAGTATGTTCCATGTTTTTTTTGTAAAATTATAACAAAAATCTGTAAGGATGTACTTGTAGGATGAAAAACCATGTTCAGTGTCAATACTGGTTATTGATGTTAATTTAAAATTAGCTTATATACCCAAGGGATAATTTAAAACAGGCTAATTGTTGAAATAAGCACTGTCACCTTGAAGTTTTTTCAAAATTTCTTTTAAAACCAATAGTCCATTATTTTTATCAAAAACATTTTTAATTTTAATTACTATACTATTTGCACTTGTAGGAAATTCATTGATTGAATTATCGACTTGTTTTAAAATATTTAATAAGTCAATAAATGACAAATTAGAATTTGTTAGAATTTAGAATTAGAATTAGAATTAAAGTTTTTGAAGCTTTAAATGATAAATGAAAAATTTATTTTAATTTAACCAAGTTTGCATTTCACATTTAATTTATTTAAAATTGTTTTACAATATTGAATGTTTTTTGCTTAATTTTCCAAGTTTTCGATTACCATTTTACATTGTGAGATGTATCTTTGTTAAAATATGCAGTATACATTTTTGATATTAAATCAGTCAAGTTATGATTTATGGATACTCATTGACTGCATGCATGTATGAAAATAGGTGTATTATATTGAAATAGAAACATGCATTTACGCAGAATCTAGTCTTTACTGATGATGAATTTTTAATTTGAAAGTACATTATGAATATAATAATGCTCTAAGCATTTATTTATTTATTTCTGTATATAAACTGTTAGTTTATTTATTTATATATTAATTTATGAGTATTAACTGTTTACTTATTTTTAAAATTAAAAAACATGAATCTGAAGAAAAGATTCAGTACAAAAATTACTTATAAGGAACACTTATGGAATATCTTCTAATAAGATTCTTATAAATTATATTATTACACATTTAAATTAATTTTATAATAATATTGTTAATGTTAAATCAGGAATAATTACTGTATGATTACTTATATAGTAACATAGATGTATATTTGTATAAACCTTTTCATGCCTGTACTAATGATCTGTACATTGAATATAATTTATTCAATTTAAAACAATTACAAATAAAAGATATCCTATTAAATTTATATTATGTTGAAATTAAATGAAATTTAGTCTAGCTACAATAAACCAAAAACCAATAAAAATATATTTAAAATTAATAAATGCAATACTGAATTTGGTAAGAGAAGCCAATTTAATGTGTGTAGGTATATCGTAATGTACACGGAGACTGAAATGGTTATTTAAATTTATTTTTATTCAAATATTTACTTATTTGTTTGGATTTATGCAGTTCAGATAATAGTAGATTACCTTTTATTTTTTTCAATCTGTTCGGATACTTTCTAGTTTTCGTTATTTTCAATGTTATTTTATTTAAAATAAAAACACTGTACGAAAAATGTATAGAACAATAATTGCTGATGTGAAAATTGACTGATGAATGTCGAGTGTAATGTTCTATCAACTAATGGCTTATTATATTAGAATTACACATGTCCAGCGTCTATAATTAGTTTTACCAACCTCCTGAAAAAATACAGATTAAATCAGCGGTTCTTAATCAGTGGTCCGCAGCCCTCTAGGGGTCCGCGACAGCCCTAACACATAAAATACGTCAATATGTGACATGAGAGCAATATTATAATATTTTTGGATTATTATTATTATTAATTAATTTTTCATATATTTTTTATTATACAATAGATAGATCTTATCTTCATACAATGTTCAAAAACTTGTATCTTACTCGTAAGTATAACATCAACCATCACATTAAGTTAATAAAAATTAAATTTATTATGTCTATTAATATAATTTATAATATAAAATCATTTTTATAATTTTGGTTTTAATTACATGAGATGTTTTGTAAAAAAAAAAAAAATGTATTTTAAAATAAAATTCCTAAGGGGGTCTGCAATTTCTAAAAATCTTTTATCAGGGGTCCGTGATCTACAAAAGGTTAAGAATCGCTGGATTAAATTGTCGGGCCTTTAGAGTGAGCAGGTACCTATTTACTTACACGCATGCACATGTTAAACATTGTTTTTTGTATAAAATTACAACTAGGTACCTTTTTTAAATGAAAAATATTGCTGGCAACTTCAATCATTATGCTCAGCAGGATGCTCCGATATCAATTTTGAAAACAGATTTGGATTCTATGCTATATTTACTATGCTTTTACTGTCTCACTTTTTAAAGTCCCATCTCCATATATTTAAATTTGAATTATAAACATGATCTATTTTTGCCTTTTTTGGAAGTTATTTTCTAAGTAAAAAAATATAAATAAAAACTAAGATTATTAAAGCATAGATAATTGGATGAATAATCCAAATCTGTTTTCAAAATTAACATCAGAACATCTCACTGAGAGTAGTGATTGAAGTTTTAAGCTGTATTTTCGAACGAAAATTTATCATGCTCCAATCCCTTTAATATATAATTATATATACTCGTTTTATGTAATATTGTAATATTTATTGATTTTATTTTATTATTGATTTAAATTTTAAATCATTAATTTAATTTTTAAAAATTGTTAAGCATTAAAATGAATTACTTATAAAATTGTATTTTTAATTATTAGGTATATTACAGTATTGTCAAATTATGTAGTTCTCTGTATATATATTATAATTACAAATGTTCCTTTAGTTTTAGTTTTATGTATCTAATAAGTACTATCATTTTATTGTTGTTTTTTTTTTTATTTTTATTTTAATTTTCTTTATATAATTACATAAATTAGAACAGTTCTAATTTATATAAGAATAAATATAAAAAATAATAATAATAATAATATATAAATATTTAAGAGTTACTCTTGTCTCCTACACAAGCTTTGCTATTGGAGACAAATTATTTTTCATATTTAAAAATACTCTATGATTATTTTTAAAAATAATAAATTTCACTACTACTACTACTAATTATATATTATGTATACACTTTATTTACTTTTCATAATAATTTTTTTTCAAAACTATAAGTATTTTTGATAAAAAATAAAATGTTTGGTTGGCATAAAGATAATATTTTATTTAACTTCATACATGTTTAAAAATCTCAATGTATATATTATTAACTTAATACTAATATATAATTTAATTCCAGGAAAATCATATATTTTATTTTAAAATTTGTAGGTTTCATATTTAACCAAAGTTATTTAATAAATATTTTGTACGCTATAGAGGTATTGAAATAATTGATCAATAAAAAATAATGGATTTGAAATTATGATTTTTTTTTCTGAGTTTTAATGACTTGAATAATAAAATATAATATTATTTACTGCTAAAATATTTGCCTTTTTTTCTTATTCAATTCAATAAAATAATTTATGGTTATCTTTAATTATTTTATATTTAATTTTTTTTACAATAATAAAATTATGAAGTGCAATCATTTTGTTCCTTTTTTTCTTTAGTTTTGGGATGTTAGGAGTTCCAATCCTATGATGACCATTAATCTGCCAGAAAGAGCTTATTGTGCTGATGTAGTAAGTAAAACACATTTATATTAGTGATATACATTTATATTTTATATTACTATTTTAACTAAAGTAATGTTTGCACTATTAATATTGTTTATTGTTAAGGATTATCCTATGGCAGTTATCGGTACTGCCTCAAGAGGTATAGTTGTATATAAATTGGAGGGAAAGCCTGAAATGGTAAAAACTGTGGAATCGCCTCTTAAATATCAACACCGATGTGTAGCAATATTTAGAGATAAAAAAAAACAGTCTCCTACTGGTTAGTTATATTAAAAAAAAACTTATATTATAATGTATTAGATCAAAACCATGGTTTTCCTTTTATAGGTTTTGGATTAGGGAGTGTTGAAGGTCGTGTAGCTATTCATTATATACAACCTCAAAGCTCTAAAGACAACTTTACTTTTAAATGTCACCGTCAAAATAACACTGGCACTATGAATGTCCAAGACATATATGCTGTAAATATTTGTGAAGATATTTAAAATGTACATTACTTATTGTTAATTTTATTAGGTCAATGACATTAAATTTCATCCAGTCCATGGTACTTTAGCAACTGTGGGTTCTGATGCTACTTTTGCATATTGGGACAAAGATGCACGCACAAAATTGAAATCGTCTGAAGCACTTGACCAACCCATCACTAAATGTTGTTTCAACAGCAATGGTCAAATATTTGCTTATAGCATAGGCTATGACTGGTCAAAGGTTGGTATATAATTAATTTATTTAAAATTACTAAACTTATAAAAATTAAAGTATAAACTATTATGAACTTTAAATTTAAATGTTAACAAAGATAATGAATATATGTATTTTATTTATCTTAGTAAATGTACTATTATTATATAGTTATATAATATATTCTTTAATCTTCCTCCAAAATGGTGGTTATATTATTATTTTTCATTTCAAACAAATACTAATCAAATTAATTTATGCTTTACTGATTAAAAATATTCTAGAAAAATTATGTTATAATATATGAACCAAATAATTTGAATGATGATTTAATACATTTTTAGCTTTTTTTACACTAAATTTTTCCTAATTTTGTATTCTGTTATTTATTAGTATGATTAAGGCAATACAATTATTGCAGTTGTATTGTTTTTGTATACCTGTTTTAATATTTATTTTTAAGTGAAATTAAAATGTTTCATTTAAATATTTCTTTAAGTTCAATTTTAACTGTATATCATTATTTCGATGATATTTTTAAAACTACTATGTCCAATTTTTTATATATTTAAATATGGAAATGCGAGCATTTTAGTAAGTTTTGTATTGCAATAAATTTACTGTCTTAGTAATAGCAAATTCGTGGATATTTAATTTTAATCTCAAATATTAATATGATATTAAAATATTAATGATATAATTAATATGATTTATATATATATAAATTGAAATTTAAAATTGACATGGGTCACATGATGATGTAGTTGATGAAATAAACATTCATTTTTCGTATTCTTATAATCAAAATATGCAATAATATTAATTTTATTCAATATATATTTTATCCAAAATATACAAAAACATGTAAAATAAAAACACCACCATTTATCTCTTCATGAGGTGATTCGTGAACATTACTAAAATCAATAATCAGAAGTCGCAAAACATGCTGTTGCATACAAATCTTAGTCCTGCTTATTAGTATATATTTCATTAATAAACTTAGTTTTATTTATTTTATGATTATGTGATTTCAGGGTCATGAGTATAATAATCCAGCTAAAAAGCCACAGATATTCTTAAAGCCATGTTTCGAGGATCTTAAACCTAAGAGTAGTAATTAAACTATTCATCATTGAAAATTTGCTAAAAATTAAAATTAATTTAGTTAGTACAAATAAAAAAAATTCTCTATTGAGGTCTACTAGTATTGTAAGTTATTTTAAATTCATTAGTATATTAATACATGATTATGATTACCTATTATTAATTAATATATTTTATATTTACTTATTGTGTTTTTATTTTCTTTGTTTTATTTGTCTTATAAATAATACTATATGAATACTTAATTCTTAAAGTATATCATGGGCAGCTTTGAATTTTTGTTAGAGGTTATTTAGAGAAGTATATCTAGAGCTGTTCGATTATTTTGATTAAAAAATTGTTCCAAAATTTAATCAAATGTTAATCACCAAATCATTGTTTTTATTGTATTTTCTTATTAAATTATTTTTGTAACAATGTTAGATATTTTGAAATAACATTTTTATTTTATAGTTAAAATAATTATTCTATACATATAGTTTGTATAATAAGTCATTAAGATAACACGAATATTGTGATAAAGGAAATTACCCGCTAGGAAGAAACACGTTTAGGCACATATATTTCTTTCCCTACTTTTTCATATTATACTAATTCTATGCCTATTAGCATTACCTTGAAGACACCATGAGGAAGTTGGCTCATAGTCTTCCAAAAATTATTTAAAAATTTATTTTTAATCATCCTTATTTTATTTTCGTGTATATTATTTTAAATGTTTGATCTATTAGAATCTATTCGATTTATTTTCTGTGATTAATTTATTAAATCATTATTTATTTCGAGTTTCAAATTTTGTCATCAACCTTCAATTTCATTAAAACAAAACTTTTAATATACATATTATACAGTTATATATGTAAGTATTAGAACACATTATCCACACACGAGAGCTCAATGTAAAACGAATATAACTATCAAAAGATGAACACTGAACGTATTATATTTGTATAAAGGTGCATAGACAAAAAAATGTTTTGTGGAGAGTGCTTTAGGTTATACATTATCATATTTATATAATCTATACACCACTTTTACTCTATAAAAACATTGAATAATTTGTTAGAATTTCGGGAGGGGGTTGAACTCCTTAATCCTCTTGTGTACGTGCCTATTTTTAGTAAATACTAGCATCTGACTAATAAATATTTGGCTACAGCCTATTTGACCCCAGAGTAGTACATTTGCGTCACGAGGAATGTGGACAGATGCATCCGAAAGATAAGGTATTACCTGCCGATTTATAGCCCGTATACGCTAATTTCGCTTACAACGTTGCTGTTGGATTCATAATATAGATTATTTTTATCTTCATAAATACTTAAAAAGTGTAATCTATAAATCTATTTAACTTATTCTGATAAATAATTGAATTAAATAGATTATTATATTATACTATTATAGTACTTCAATAATAATTATCAAAATAATATAGGTAGGTAACTTAAATTTTATAATTTTTTCAACATTTCGGGTTTAAAAAAAAAATTAGTCAATATGAAAATAACTAACATTAAATCCAGGGTTCCTTATTTGAACAACACTTAATGAATTCACATTAAGTTTTATTTTCTGTAGTCAAAATTCATCTCACATAAAATAATATAAATAGTATAAATATTTCAAATTAAAAAAAAAAAATGTCGAAAATTATAACATATGTAAAAAATATTTTACGATAAATTAATCCCTCTAAATGAATCGGTTATTTGGAAAAGGGAATATGTCCAGAAATTCTAATTTTACAGGAGAGAAAAAATTAATTTTCTCAACAATGATCGATTTTTCGAGGCTTCAAAATTTATATTAATATTCCAAATGTAGCATCTCATTTACCTACATTAGAACCAAATTTTTTTCAAAATCCATAAAGTGATAAAAAAAAAATTAACATGTTACCTTTTCCAAATAAATAAATTGATTTTTGATATTTTATTTGTTATTAAATTTTTTTTTTTATTTATTTAATATTAAGATAACTCTTGAAAACAAAATATAATCATAAGTGATAGTTATAGTTATAATATATTGACAAATTATAATACAGTACTTTATTAATCAAATAAGGTATCAAAAAAAAATAATAATAATTTATTGTTTTATTATAATATGAACAAACTTAAAATTTTAATAATCTTCGTGATGCTCTTGTACTTCAGTAATGAGCCAATGCATTATTTCATCATAGAATGACATTTTATCAGCAAGTATATGACATAGGCGACTTTTTATATTATCCATTTTCTTGTAATTTATTGGTAACTTTTGGTCGTATGCTTTAAAATCTATGATGTTCGGCAAATCTGGACGAAACTGTCGAGGTTCCACTAGTGAAAAACGTTCGCTTATAAAGTTATCGATGTAGGGATGAACAAGTAAAATACCTATGGATAATGAACCATATGATGGTGTTTGGGTTTGAGATAGGAGCGAAATAATCTTAAATATAATTCGTGATGTTCTGAAATTAGTGTTTTAAGAAGTATGGAATCAGATAATCTTACAGATTTGCATAAAATAATTTATTTTAGTATTTTGTATAATTCCCATAAATTTGAGTCTTCTAGAATAAGATCCCCAATAATTAACCCTAAATATCGAATAAAACAAAGCATTTCCGATGCTGACATTTTGATTAATCCCTGACGCCGAAGGTTTTCACAAGGTAATAATGTAGGTCTACTACGGATATCTAAAGAGCCGTAATTAAATGCTTCGATTCTATTATTTAAAGTTTCAATAGAAAAGTATTTGAAATCAAAAATCATTTGTTTTAGAATCAAACCAATATCAAATTTGCAAACACCTTCCAATATATCATGCATTATGTCTACACTGAAATTCTCTGTTACTGTGAATGAAATTAAATCATTCCATACGCAACGCTCTTTAATTCCAGTGTAAGACAAATCATTGACAAGAAGATCAGATGCATAATTAATTTTATTTCTCATCATTTCATCGAGTTGTGCTAGCACATGACAAACTTGTTTTGAACATCTGCAAATTCGACATGGATATTTAGCTACAAAACTTTCCGAAAATCCTAATATGGAATGAAGACCTAGATTATCTCCAAGAATTAATTCAACTGAAAAATAAATATGATGTACTTCATTATTAATTTTTACATCTATTCGATTAGTTTCCAAAAAATTAAGTTCTGCTATGAAGTCTTTAAATACTAATATATTTCCGTATGCTTTTCTATCCTCAGTTTTAAATAAAGAAGCTAAAAAAATATTGTCTATAGAAGAAGCCAATTCAGGTGGTAAACAAGCTAATTATATATATATATATAGCACCTAATTTTTAAGAACCTGAATGGGAACCTAATGGATCATTTACCTCAAAATCATCAAAATATACAAAAAGAGGAAATATCATTTTACCATCATGTAATTTTAACTTTTCTTTCCATAATTTAGATTGAATAAAGCTATAAATAATACGACCTTTATATAATTGAAATGAATCAATATAATGAAGTAGCATGTTAAAAAAATTGGAATGTTCAAATAGTTTTTTTATACTTGTTTTAGGGGAATTAATGTTATTTTTACTTCTTTGGGTTCTAATACAACACCATTACAGAGTCGATCAATTAATCTATTTGCTATTACAATTTGATTTGGTTTAATCAATAAACCAATTTCATCTCAATGTTTAAATCGTAAATACTCTGTTTTAATATTACAAAAAGGGTCAGAGAGATTTGATAGTGCAGTTGAAATTGAAGATAGGTCAGAAATAACATCAGCTATATTAGATTTTGACATACAATCATTTATTTTTAACTTAAGTATAGATATTAATGAACTATTAAATTGTTGGATATCATCAAGAAGGGTATCAACTTTATTTCTAGGAATTGAACTACAGCTATACCACTTTGAAGCCAATTGAATTGCATTTTTTGTTAATAATTTATTCAAGAAATCATCAGTTATAATTATATCACTGGTTGTATTGCTTTCAACTGTACCAGATGTACCTTCTAAAAAATGACTTTCTACTAGATTTAAAAGTGAACTATTAGGATTTATTAAATTAGTTGAAGTTAAAAGTATAATTTACCAAGTATACGTTTACTGTGTATTAATTTTTTTTTTTTTTTTGCTTATTATATTAACTGTGTATTATAGGTATTATAAAATATTTTGCTGATCTTTTTGGTCAATTTTTTAAAAAAATTAAATGGAAAACCATCAATTAGAGAACTGTTAAATATTTTAAGACAACAAAATACTTAAAGTCTTTTCTAATTATGTTAGGAGTAACATTTTTAACTATCAGAGACTTTTTCAAATGGTTATTCTTAACGCTAACTTTCGTTTCTGTGATGTCGACTACGGTAATTTATTGTGTTCACATCCTGGGATCCCTTTTATTCTGATGAGTTAATAAATTATAAGAAATTACGGATTATTGTTCATCGTAAACGCATTAGAAGTTTTAGATTTCATGGCGTCACTATATGTAAGTACTTGCATTTCGATACTGACTACTCGAACTCTGCAGTAATCGGATTAGCGGAAAGTGCAAAAAGATGCATCAGGGGGATTCGGGACACTTGAGACTTCCATAGCGTTCTTGAGATGCCTCATCCGATTTTTTTCGACATTTTCTTTCAACTTCATCAATTTTGAAAGTTACATTAAGTAGTTATTAATTATAATCAACGGCCTAGGGATAATAAGTATAATTTCTATTTCATATAGTTGTACAAACTTGAGTTTTATTTTACTTTCGAATGTCAATGAAGTTTTTCGTCTAACGGAGTCGTTTGGTAGGCAGTTTTGAAAAAAAAAAAATATGTGTTGAAAATAGCGCAAAGTGGACCGTTCTTCGATTTATTTTTTTTATTCGAATTACTTTTATTTTATTCGTTTCGTACAGTATTCCATTTTTGTTTTTACAGGTCGACAACTTTTTACTCTACCTTATAACTTTTAATTAACCTAGTATCATAAATATAGCATTGCTAAAAACAGGGATAATAAATCCATAACATGCGTGCTCGAGATGGTACGCAAAACAATTTAAATATATTTACTAGGTATATTTTTATCAACTATAATAGCTGAATTATCCATTGTTGCCGGGTTTAAGTATAAAAATCTATCTAACCTAGCAAAATTGAATTTTGTTTAATCTATTGAAATTTAAATTAATTAAAACTATTGAAATAATATTTTATTTATACATATTAATTTAGTTTTTAAAATAATAATTATTATCATAACCCATCGGTTCCCAAAATGTGCTCCATGATGTCTGTACAGAGGCGCCGCGCCGTCATGAAATACTATCGGGTATAACATTTTCCTTATGATTAGTCATGTTATGGCTTGGAGAAGGGTGTCCTGAAAAAACCTTAGATCAAAAAAGGCGCCGTGAGTCAAAAAAATTTGGGAAGCACTGTGACATAACCTATTCTATAAGTTATAGTTTTTAGCGACCGTAGTTACAGAGAATGCTTTCGGACTATTAAGTAAAGTATTCAGAGTATTTTTTCAATCCATTAATATAAATATAACAACATGTGATGACTTGATAATCGTAGCATGTTGTTTACATAATATGTTATGAGACGCATATTTAGAAAAAAATGGAAAGATATTTTATCAATTTGATTCAAAAGAACCTCCTAGTGCCAACATGACGTCTTTGGCCAGCGAACGTGGATTTTTAAGTACAGAAGGCATAGCAGTGAGAGACATTTTTAAAGATTATTTTGTCAACAAAGGAATTGTAACGCAGGGGCATATTTAGACTTACTTCTAGGAGGGGGGGGGGGGGACTCAAATATTTTCTTTAATTCAGGCTCAAAATTTACAAGTAAAATTTTTGGTAATATTTATATCAAGTGAATTTTTAATATTTGTGGTTTTTTTTTTTTTTTATTAATCTAATGCCGGATCCACTTAGAATGGTCTTTTGTGTAGTTCTT